ACTCTAATTTTTAGTGTTTGATTTTTGGATTTTGAATCCGTCATTTAATCTTTTGGGCGCTCATCTAATAAAAAGTCTTTTGGCTATTTTTTAAAAATGGCTTTTTAAACCTAACCATTCATATACTTACCTCAATTAAACAACTATTTATATTTAAAACTTTACCCCATGAGTATACATCTATGGATGCATTTAAAGTCGTCTCTGGAATTGGTAAATATCTTTGTCCATTAACTACTAATTTTTTCTTTGTTCAATTTTTTTATTTTAAGTCAATTCATAATTTTATCTTCTTTGATCAGGATTATTAATTAATGTTTGCTACTATGGTAACAAATTTCATTAGATACCCTTTTAATATCGAAGCATACTTATTTAGCCATTAATTAAAAAAAAAAAAAAAAAAAGGTGAGCTTTCCTTTTCAATATTTGGCATTTTATTATAAAGTTTGGTCAATGAACAATACATATATTTATCCCTTCAAATTGAATATTAAGTGGGTCAAAATTGGGGGCAACACTAAGATATATACATACCAACTATGTGTATATATATATATATATATATATATATATTTGGGAATAACAATAAGCTAAATATTAAAATGAACCTATCTTCACTTATTGATGATTATTTTTATTGATGAGTACTAGCGTGGAGATTGATTANTTGGGGGCAACACTAAGATATATACATACCAACTATGTGTATATATATATATATATATATATATATTTGGGAATAACAATAAGCTAAATATTAAAATGAACCTATCTTCACTTATTGATGATTATTTTTATTGATGAGTACTAGCGTGGAGATTGATTATTTTGTTTTAATATTAAAATGAACCCACCTACCATGGCAATAACCCTATATATATAATATATATGGCAATAATCCTAGAAGCTTTTGGGCCAAACTATGGTTTAATAAGCCCTTTAGGCTTACTTGAGCCTCTTGAGTCCAGATAGCATGTGATTTGAATAGATATTACAAAACAAAGTGTGAAGTATCCAAGGAGGAGGAGGAGGAGGAGGAGGCAGGGCAGGATGTCAGGTGAGAGAAGCGTAGAAGAAGAAGAATAATAATGATAATAATTAAGAAGAAAGGAAGGAAGGGCGTTGGGAAACAGTGGAAGCGTGGAGATGAGCTTTTGCATTTGTCTGCTCTTTTAGATGTTCCAAACTACCCACACACACTTCCATCCAAAATACTAAAACCCTGTCTCCTTCCCCTCGTTGTCTTCCTTTTTCTTTCCCTCACTTTTCTCCCTTTTTTCCCCGCCTCTCTACCACTCCAGCATCGGATCAGTTCAAACTATTAGATGAACACGATTCCCATAGTGGTATGATATTGTCCACTCTGAGTATAACCTCTCTTAGTTTTGCTTTTGGCTTCCCAAAAAACCTCGTACTAATGGAGAGAGTATTTTTTTTTATTATAAACTCGTGATCATTCCCTAAATTAGCCGACGTGAGACTTTCATTATCCAACACAAGCTATGTAACCTCAACACATTCAAAAATAGAGTTACGATTTAACCCAACTTATCGTAATTTTAAAATTATTATGAAGATTAAGAATATTTGTCAAATATTAGTGGTGCAGTGTAAATGTTTGATATTTAAGTGTTATTAAATTTTAGTTATTAATGTTATATATAAAAAAACAACTCTACTGTCCTATCTAACTGAATTGTGAACTCTATTTTGGTTCTCGATTCATAATCTAACCCACTGAGTCAAAATATTTTTGCAACTTATGTACCTCCATAATATTAATTGAGTATTTAGATTAGATTAAGCTCAATTAAGTAGGGTGTCACATTTCAAATTTCTCTTTAACTCTCATCTTTTTTTTTTTTTTTTTCTCTNAAAAAAAAAAAAACAAAAAAAAAAAAAAAAAAAAAAAAAAAAAAAAAAAAAAAAAAAAAAAAAAAAAAAAAAAAAAAAAAGTCAGTGACAAACTAATATATCTTACCCAGAAACATCAACTTTGGTTTGATATGAGTGAAAAATTGTTTAAAGCATTTATTAAAAATGTTAGGATGATGTGAATTAAGTCACTTAATGTGTACTTACTCGATGTTTTGCAAGGATAAAAGGTTTTGTTAGTTGCAATTAAACCCCAAAACTTACCGAATTATGTTTGCACATTTAATATCAGAGGACGCATAGGACCATAACAATTTGGTAAATTTAAAGGGATAATTATAGGAATTAAAAGATGGGAGGTACCGAATTGTAAGAAGCAACTATCGTTGTCATTAGCATTATTATGAGTAGTATATATTGAGGGTGAGATAATGACAAACTTATGGTCCCATGCACACACACACACAGTAGTGTGGAGCTCTGCTTGAGGTTTGCTGAATTTAGTCAGAAAAGAGCGTTATAATTTCGGCTATCTGTTGCCGCCATACGTTTCTTCTGCCACTGTCAGCTTCTGTTTCTTCAAACATTTACACCACTCATCATAAATCTCGATCATGCCTTCATCCCTACCATTCAAATTTCTCCACCGATTATATTTTTATAAGCAACTACGTTCATCTTATCTCGACGAAATTTAAACTCAACCTAAACTCGACATGTTTTTGACAAAACAACTCGAAAGATAAAAGAAAGGGTTGTTAATTTGTTGTTATCCTGATTGAATAGAGGTTGATGTAAGACAAGGCTGCAGTAGAGAGTGATGGGTGTAGCCAAATTTTGGTTCCACCGAGGCCAAGCAACACAGTGGAATAAAACAACAAAAATGTTAAGCAATGATGCATTGATTGTTACATAACATTATACATTATTATAGGCTAAAAATCTGAAAAATCTCGTCGATATCGTTCTTTTTGAGTTTTTTCTTTTGGACTTCTCTTTTTAAAACTCGATGGTTGAGGAGAGATTTCAACCCCTTATAAAGAATACTTTGTTCTCCTTCACAATGACCGTGAGATATCGTGAAACGGAAAAGGGTAGTGAGATTCAAAACAATGTTATAGGACACATACTGGTAGTTCTCAGAAAGTGAATGTGATGAGTCATAAAACTGAGGCCTAAATCAGTGTGTCCAAAAGAATCTAAGGGACCATTTATTTCCAAATCATCATCCTCTTACCTTCAATATCAGTTAGTCAACAACACAAGAACATGGACTGTGTTCATCAACAAAAACCAATAATTCATATATCCAAAAACCCTAAAATCCTTCCTCTTTGTGACCGTCCACCCTAATAGATATTGTCTCTTTGGAGTTTCTTTTTTGAGTTTAACCTCAAAATTTTTAGAACTGGTTGAAAGAGATTTTCACACCCTTATAAAAAATGTTTAGTTTTTCTCCCTAACCGACATGAGATCTCACAAATAATTAATTAACCCACGGCCTTAGTTTGGCTAAAAACTAAAAATTTGTCTCTTCATTGCTTCTTCAGATGCCCTAATTGAAACCCTAAGACCCTTACCAATTGGCCATTGATAAACTTGCACAAAAGCTTCCCAATTTTCTTTCATATTCATCTTCTTCTATTCGTGTTCTGATTCTATGTTGGTTTTGAGTCTCGATCAAAGCACACCGAAACTAAAAACCGAAGCCGAACGAAACACTCACAAAGTACACTTTGTACTAAAATACTTTTAATCACAATGTTTTTCAATTTTCTACCTTCTCCATGCACGAGCCATGTCTAGTGTTCGGCATTGAACAAGTGAAGATATGCGCAAACTTCCCTTCAAATTTGCTTATTTTGCAAAGAAGGGGATTTGTTGTGGATATTTTCAATGATTTCAATCAAACCCATTTTTTGTTTTCTTGTTAGATTCAAGATTACAATTGGTTCTTAGCAATCCAACTTGAATAACAATTTTGATCATGTTGAGTTTTGTTTTTTTGCACACGAAGTTGCTATCTGAACTCACTTTTTGGCTTCCATGCGCACGAAAAAGAAGAGATAAGAATAAGATTTAGGGCGTGGGGTTGTAGTCAAATTCAAATATGGATCTAATTCTTCTTCTTCTTCTTCCTCCTAAAACCCATATGAGAATCCCAAACAAAAAAGAAGAGAAGGAGAAATGGGATACGCCTCTGTGTAGCCATCAAAATTGAAGAAGGAAGAGTGTTATTATCACTGTGTTTGAAGTGTAATATGGAGTTATTAAGAGCCTTAAAAACCACAGTTCCAAGTTGGGTTCCCATGCATATCTATGTGCACCAAAAGGTAAGAGAGAGTAGAGTGGTCCAAAACAAGAATGGTCCCTCAGCTACAACCTTTGCCTTCGCCCATTGCTATCATGAACATCAATATTAATACTCATCTCTGTCTACCTGTTTGTGTGTATTAATACTCATCATTACGCCCTCCTTCTTGTTAGATATGAATCATCAACAATAATCTTCTGATTTTAAGGATAAATTTTTGATTATGTGTAAGATCTGTGGTGATGATCACATGATTCTGATCAACTTATTTATGTTCGTACAAGGCGTGCATTCCATCAAAGCCCATGTGATAGGATAGGACTTCACCCCAACCTTTTGTAGTTGTCGATAAAGCACTACTCACTACTTTTCAAAAATGTGCTCCACCATATGGTCCCCCAGTTCTTCTAATTTATCATCTTTTTTTTTCTTCCATTTTTCATTCGTTTCTATAATTAAATCTTGTTCAATCTAAAAATTTAAATTTGTTATTCAAAATTTTGTTTGTTAGAAAAAGAAATAGCTGTCATATTCAGCAAAGTTAGGCTCAAATTGATAGTATGTAGTATAGTCAAAGATGAGATTATATGCTCAAACTAGAAAATAGGAGAGAATTAGGAGTATGCTTTCTTTAGTCGATGGGTTGACAAGTTTTCTTTGATTAATTATGGAGTCGAGAGTAGTACAATTATCAGAGTCGATGACGATCGAAGACACGTGGCTGCATATGATCCATTGCTTTAGCTTTCCAATGGAGGATGGTCGGCTGAATTCCAGCATCTTCCTTTTGCCTTCTTTTTCCCTTTTTCTGAACCGGGTTTGAGCTACATATCAAGTTGGATACTTCATTGAAAAAGAAAACCAATATGCTGCAGCTAACAGGATTGAAGCTCTTCCCCTCATCAATTTGAGAACTTCAATTGCATCTCCAAGCTGCTACAAGCTCAACCTCATAAAAGGGGTATCAGTTCTTATGCGTAAGTTTTATTCCACTTTTTCTATCTTCAATTTCAACGATGATTCACTAAATTCAGTGTTTTCTTGTGCTTTATCTAAATTGAGCTTCAAAAATCACTTACAGATCTTGTTTCAACACATAATTCGTTGAATCAGTACATAAAGATGACAACTTTCAGAAAAAACTTGCACAATTTTTGGTCTTTTTTTCTAAAATTTAATTGAACCAACAAATCCTTTTTGGGGTTTGAAGTAAACTTGCACAATCTTGCATCTTTTGAACATTTTCAAGAAGTGGAATTCTTGTTAGGGTTTGTGGGTTTGTGGGTTTGTCCAATTTCAACTCAAAAAAATTTGACACAAAATTTGAGGGTTTTGTTTCATAAGCTAATGCTAATGAATTGCAAAAAAAATGTACAAATTATTTTAGCTGCAGGCAAACATGATGAGAGACATACTATGATTACAAATTCTAAAGAAGAGAATTCCCCTCCAAAACTAGCAGCTTCATCAAGCTCATCGGCGGCAGCGGCGGTGGCAACGCCATGGCTTAGGTTGAAGGATCCGAGGATCGTGCGAGTGTCGCGAGCTTTCGGAGGCAAGGATCGACATAGCAAAGTTTGTACCATAAGAGGGCTGCGCGACAGGCGTGTAAGGCTTTCGGTTTCAACTGCAATTCAGCTCTATGATCTTCAGGACCGCCTCGGCCTTAATCAGCCAAGCAAGGTCGTCGACTGGCTGCTCAACGTTGCCAAGGATGAAATCGACGAACTCCCTCCATTGCCAATACCATCTGCAAGCCTCGGCCTTCACTACCAATCTATGCTACCACCTCATACAGCACATAGACCGGAGTTCAAAATCAACTCCGGCATCGACAAGGTCGAAATCGACGACGATGATGAACAAAAGCAACACAAATCCAATTCTAATCCTTCTTCCTTCTCAGCCCTTTTGAACAATGTGTCTGCCCCTCCATTTGGGTTCCATTGGGATCCCTCATCTTCGTCGTCGTCGTCAACAACAAATCTTCCATTCTTTACATCTCAAGCTGAGGACCTTCATAACTTCAATCATGTCACCCCTTTGTCACTCTCAACTGGCTCTCAGTTCTTGGAGTTCAACAATCACTTGCACCAAAATTTCTTCATTAACAACTCTTTGAATACACCTCCTCCTATGCACTCAATAACCCACCCCGCTGTTAGGCCTTTTCATTTCAGCATGGCTACCAAATTTGTTTCTCAAGATAAGAATAACAATGGAGATCCTGCACATAAAGAGGACGACTTCGGTTCTGATGAATGATTTCGATGAACGAACATACGCTCTCTCTTCCGAAAAGGTATTCTACATTTGCTGTGATTCTTAGAAATTAAATCATCTCCAATTGCATTACAACAATTATCATATATATTTGAAGACTTGAACTGCTATTGTTTTTGTTTTGTTTGGTTATCGTTTATTAATATTTACATTCTCGTACTCCGAACGAGTTGAGTTGGATTAATAAATTTTTTTTTTTTTTTTTTTTTGAATAATACAATATTTATAACCTAATCCAATGGTAAGATATTTATTTAGAATTTTGAGTACTTTGATTTTAATTTATTTGCACCAAAATAAACTTATAACTAAACCCAACATGCTCAATTTTAGTTGGGGTTAAATCTGGGTTTAATATATGATTCTAATTTAGTTGAATTCATAAAGAGGATTGCATAGAATTAGGTTAATATTTTCAGAGTTTGGTAAACTTATGAAATATAAGTTTGAAGAACATAAGAAAAAGGAAGAAAGCAAGAAAATATTGGAAGAAGTGAGTAATGAGTGATGGAAAAAGAAATGAAGAAAAGTTGGGAAGGAGGTTCAGATTGAACAAGACTCTTCGGTGTTTGGAAGTTACTGAAAAGCACAACATCCAACCACATCATTTTAATGCAACTTATCATTTTCATCATCGGTCCGGATACAAACCAAAGATCTTGAACGACTGATTCGGCAGAACAACTCAAAATATAAACAAGTATCGTTAAGTTCTTCCGGTTCGTTTCAAATTCGAAATATCATGTGTACAAATAATAACCCCCTTCCTTACATGATTTCTTCCACATATAGAATCTATGATTACTTTGAAACCCTTCTCATGTGATAGAAAAGGATCCTATGATTGTGAACCGATCTACCTCGGATTGCAAATCCTAAACCTCTCTACTTAAATTTGGTTATATACTTAATATTTATACTTTGCATAACTTCTTTTTTTTTTTTATCTTTAGTCATCGGGTTAATTTCTATCTAATATAAGCAAATTTCACCGTACAAGAATGAAAATAAAAAATTTTAAAGGTTAGGAGTATAATTGAAACCTAATCCAAAATTTATGAATATTTGGTAAATTTAATGCTAAAAAAAAAATCATTAGAAAGTTTGAAATTTACAAAGAAGTATTTTATCTCTTTAAATAAATTTAATTTTCTTAGTGTTAGTATGAGGTTTAAAGTAGTAATACGCTTAATATAAAATTTTAAAAAAAAAATGGTACATTTATTTTGTAGGTAAAATAATAGATATATTAAAATGTTTATCTAAAATCAACCTTTTAGCCTTTTTATTATTATTATTATTATTTATTTATTTTTGTAATGATTGTAGAATAGGAGTATAGGTTGAATTTGATGGCGACAGAGGGTAAACAAAAAGGACAACCGGCAGTGCGATGAACGCCACAAACACAAGGTTGAACCCATATCTTAATATATTTTCATATAATTTCTTACAAAATCATATTTAAATATATTTTTAACTAATTATAATTTCATTCCCATTTTAAATATATATTATTGGTTATTTAATATTAATATTTTAAATATAATAAATATTTTTTGTTCATATATTATATATTTAATGTATCAAAATATATTAGATATTTTGATGATGCATCCTATTAGTCTCTTCCATGTACCTACCCACTATTCCAATAGCATTTTTTGAAACATTTGGACCATTATGACATCTTTTTCGAAGTAGTAACTTTACTTTGATAAGGATATTTGGTTGGGTACCCTCTTAAATTGTTGTAACACCTTAGCCTAAGTTGATTGTTTTAGCCTGATATAATCTTTCTCTTGGTCCACTTCAATAATGAAATAATACATGAGTAACTCGAGATCAATCATCTCAATTTGCTGCTTAAATTCTTTGATGTCTTCCACACTTGTACCAATGACGATCAAGTCATCAACGTACACACCAACTATGAGTGTTCAGCTCTACTGTTTCTTGTATACACTGCTTATTCTTGTGAGCACTTCAAGAAATTTAGACTTTTTAAGCTTTTGTCTAGACGTTTGTTCCATGTCCTCGATGCTTGTTGTCAATCGTAGAGGGCTTTTGACAACTTGTACACTTTGTGCTCTTTGGTTTTGATGATGAAGCCTTCAGGTAAGGCAACGTCTACTTCTTTTTGGAGGTCATCATTTAGGAATTCCGATTTGACATCCAAATGATGGACCTCCCACCCGTGTTGAGGTAAGAGGGCAAAGATCAACCTTACAGTATCGAGTCCAGCCACAGGCACAAAGATTTCCTCAAAATCAACTCCTTACCATTGCATGTATCTTTTCACCACAAGTCATGTTTTATGCTAGATGGCATTTTCTTCACTATTCTTCTTCAACTTAAGCACCCACTTCAAATTGATGGACAACGTTTCTGGTCGATAAGAGTGAATGCCCATATCTTCAAACTCATTTTGCATGGCCTCCTGCCACGTTGTCTTAGTTGGACCGCAAGCAACACTAACTCGTTGGGATCTAATTCTTTTTCAAATGTATCTACTTAAATTTGGTCCATCATCTGCGGTGGATCATCATATGCTCTCGTTTGAGCTCTCTGTTTTAGAGAATTCATCATGCCTTTTGGTATCGTCGGTGATGACATGCGTGGATTTGTTGGTGCACTTTCTATGCTTGTTGTGTCTCTCTCTTTTTACAGAGTAGTGAACTCTGTAATAGTTTGTTTGTTATCGCCGATATTGCAAACAATCTCATTTCTTCTCTTCTTCGAGTACAAAGTTCTACTAACCTAAATTTTCTCATGTTGCTGATCATATAGCCTGTGTGCATTGGTCTCATCCTCTATGGTAAAGTATATCATCTTTTGGTTTCTATCATCAAGCTTTTTGATACATGGCTTTGTAGTCTTAACATGTGTTGTACAACTACAGACACTTAGATGCTCGAAGTGAGGTGTCTTACCAAACAATGTTTCGTAGGGGGTGCGAGTATCTAGCGCCTTTGTCAGTAAACAATTTAGAAGATATATAGTATGTCGTATTTTAAGTGTCGGTAAACAATCTTGTTTGTTTGGAGACTAGGTGACTTTCACATAGTTGGTTCAAGTGTATGTTTAGAGACTGTCTTTCACATAGTTGGTTCGAGCGTACGTGGATTGTGTGTGGAGAAGTATCACACATCCAACCCTGCCTGAAACTAGAAAGATTCCAAGACCATGTGACGGTTTTAAAAGATAGACCCCAATCATGTTTATGTGTGTAATTGCATTACTAACCCCAATAGTGGGGTGACTTACTGAGTATTTCTTAAAATACTCAAGTCACGTGCTACAGTTGTAGGTAAAGGTAAAGCTCACATGCATGAATGACAATGAATGATGGAAAGGTCATAGAAATCAAGATAGGTCATGGTAGGGCAATAAAATACATTGAATTTCATTTAGTAGTTGATAAGTTTTTATTGCATTTTGTTTTATTTTTAAAGACTCTGTTATCTCTATTTTCTTGTTGTTAATTGAATAGGTAAGTCCATGGCTTTGTTTTAAAAGTATTTATTTTGAGTTTTCGCATAGTGTTTAAAGCATTCATGTAAGAACGTCACTAATTGAGTATCAGAAAATTAGGGGCGTTACAGGTTAACCTAAGATTTTATGCATGAAAATTATTCTAAACGTGTGCTCACTTCAAGGCCTTAAATGTTATCAAGAATCATGGAGGGTGTGTTATAAGCTTCACGCCACACTTGGGATTAGTCATTGGTTTTTAAATGACTAGAAGGCTATCCTATGTCAAGATGAGCTCTTGGTTCATACATGAGTTTTAAATAATCAAGATGAGTTCAAATTAAGCACTTAATTTTTAGGTAATCAAGATCCTAACCCATGATAAGTTTTAGGATAACCTTTGGTTTTTAAGTAATTTGGAGGCTATTCTAACTCAAGATGAACTCAAAGTTAGTTCTTGGTTTTTAAGTGATCAAGCTATTATCTCATGATAAGTTTTAGGATAGCCCTTGGTTTTTAAGTAACCAGGAGGCTACCCTAGCAAGATGAGCTCAAGGTTAACCAGTGTTATCTCTTGATAAGCTTTAGGTAGCTTTTGATTTTTAAGTAATTAATATGCTACCTTAAGATCATAATTCAAGTAAGTTTTAGGTAAACTTTTGATTTTTAAGTAATCTAATATGAACCAAGGCATCAATCTTGGAATATAAACTTTAGGAAGATGGGAAGAAAATGAGGTTCAAATTATCACAAGAGGTTGCAATTCATGTCATATTAATATATATATATATATATATATATATATATATATCAAGGTTCATTTATTCTTAGATGATTACAAATTTTTGGTGAATGATAATTTAGAGTTATGATATTTCATTAATGTAATTTAAAACTTTATATTGACTGTAAGCTTACATTTGCGACTGATTATGGTTATAAAATAGGCAGAGTGACTAATTATGGTCATAAAATATGAAAGTTATAACTCTTGGAATGCCTCCTACAAGGTTAAGGAATTTCATTTTGAGACTATATAAGTTGCCATTGTCAAAGAGACTTGAAAATGTAGTAAAAAGAACATTTGGGCTTTTTAGCCGATGACTAATTTTTTTTTTTTTTTTTTGTAATTTTATGTAGTTTAGATTTTTTTTAAATCATTCAAGTTTGACAGGATCAATCTTGCTTGTAGACTGATTGAATCTCAAACAAGTGTTATTACCTTCAGATATTCAATCAACAAGGTAATCTGAATTTAACTTTCTCTTGGAGTGATTCCTTATCATTAGAACTAAGTTTCCGTGCAATTCTATATATTTGAGATTGTATATTTAGAATCATTCAAGCTTGACATGATTAATCTTACTTGTAGAGTGATTGAATTTCAAAAAAGTGTTCTTGCCTTCAGATATTCAATCAACAAAGTAATCTGAATTTTACTTTCCCTGGGATGAATTCCTTATCATTAGAAATAAGTTTTTTGCAATTCTATATAGTTTAGATTGCATGTTTAGAATCATTAAGCTTGACATAATCAATCTTGCTTGTGGAGTGATTCGAATCTCAAAAAGGTATTCTTGTCTTGAGCTATTTGATCAAGGAAATTAGAATCTTACTTTCTCTTGTAGTGCTATATAAATCCTCTAAGATATG